AATGGTGAAGAAATGAGAAGGTTGGGTTTTCTTATATAATGAGAAGGAGAGAAGAAGAGAACAACTATGGTGACTCTGCGATCGGCGTAGTGGGGAAGGAGGCGCCGTTCGCACAGTGTCCCTGATTGGGACCAATTTTGGTTCCAGTCGGGGTACACTTTTTGGTCCAACTTTCTCCGAATTGAATTCCGTTTGCACCGTTGCGATCGGGCAGTTAAACTCTATCTAACGATATAATTTTTATATTTATTTGTAATACTTTTTCCGACATCATATTTTTGGGTGTTTGACTTTAACAGAGTCAAAATTGGTTTAATTGACCTTTCTCATAAAAGGTTCTCTCATTTAATTCATATCAATTATTCTCATGATTTATTTCAATAAATCATTACAAAGTTCACATCATAATTAATTAATTTATTTATTCTTGATTTGGGTCTGTACTCAGGTTCCCAATCAAGACCACACAAATAGTCCACATATTGGATTTATCTCAATTAGACTTATCCAGATTTTGATATTGGATATAAAAAAAATATTTCATATCAGCCCAAAGCCCAATAATAATCAAAACAAATTTGTTTAATTGAATAATTATTTAATAATAATTCTAGGGTATGTTTCGGGGCGTTACAATTGGACCCTATCATATTACAGAACGTGTGCGGCCAGTAGCCTATCGGTTGGAATGAACGACTATAACAATAATATTACTTCATCCCTTAATGTAAAGTGTATGTCTGTATGTATATATGTATGTGTGTGTATAAGCAATGAATTTCTTTCAAAATTATTCAACAAATATTAATAATTATACTTTTTATTAGATGTCTTAAAATTTGTCTTAGCATATTATATATGTTATTTAAGTAGTAGTTTACTGGAAATAAATGGCTTTTTAAATGTATATTTCTTCAAAAACAAATAATGTCTTATTATAGAAATAATATGCCAATGTAGATCAATATTAAATGTATTTCGATCTCTAAACATCTGGATTAAATAAATTTAAACATATATTGATCAAGAATGTAGGTAAACATTTTTTCCCAAGTGTTAGTAATAAAGATGATGAATACACACACACACACACACACACACACACACACACACATATATATTATATAAATAAACTATTAAAAACAATCGGTAAATTGACGCATGGATATATAATATCTCATAATAAAATTTGAATATTAATAGAATCTTTTTTGTTTTCCCTATTACTCTGTATATATTTAAGAAATTATAATTATTGTGAAAAATTTATTGAAATACATTAAACCATAAAGTGTTACTTATTAGAATTTTACTTATAACATATTGAGACACACAACATAGTAATTTTACTTTATTTATTAAACATTTTATATTTAATTAGGTGATACACAATCCTTATTCTCACCATAGAGACTAATATTTCTTCAAAATTATCTATAAAGAGAAAAACCAATATCAAGATGTGTATTTGTATTAAACATCTTTTCAAAGATCATTTGCTAAAATGTGCCAGGTACTAAAAGACTTTTCACATATAGTTGTGACATTATAATAAGTGTGTCATGTATCACAATTCTAGAAGCCTAATTCTCAAATTTTATATATAAAAAATATAAAGATATTTTCGGATCACCTATTTCTGTATACAAGTAGTGACAAAACTATATTATTTTTCTCAAATGACTAACAAAAATTTAAAAAATGAATAAATTTGACTTTATCAATAATAAACAATCAATTTGATTTGAGACAAAGGAATTCAAAAAGTAAAATAGTTTAAACTTATGTTTTAAAATGAATCTATATATATTAAATTTATATTAAAATTTAATTTATTTTTTCTGTAATATATAGTTAAAAGCCAAAAAGTTTGACCCCAAAAATCAAATGAAAAATTAATCTTAGGACAAAAGGAGCAACAAACTAGTAATAAAAAAAGGCAAAAGATAATAATTAAAATTTGAACACGTGGATAATGAATATATGTAAATTGGAACGGGAGGAATAACGAAAACTCCATTTCTTTGACTACTCGGGTAACGAGTATTCGAGCAAGTAACGATATTTTCAGCACTCAAATTCCAAATTCCTAATTTGTAATGTTCCCAAATACCAAAGTGTATTGTTCCCACATTTCAAAGTTCCATACTAACATACAAGATACATGCGACATATCCAATTGCAAATAAATGGGAAACAGTCTCCACAGTTGATATGTGTTTGTGTTACTCACACTAGGTGTCTCTTGGAAACGATTTTTACATCTGCCTGCACACACCCACCCAGACCCTACTTTCGTGGGATGCTAAAGAGTTATTGATAATTGAGTTCGTTGCGTTAAATTATAGAAATAGAACAGTGTGCATATCTATACCTCTAAGAGGGTCCAATGTTTATTTTTATTCCTCAAAATTTAACAATGGGCATATCTCTGAGCATGTTGGAAACTGTTCTGCAACCAATGGAGTAACATTTAACTCATGCAAAACATGAAACTTGACTAGAAATGACCTTTAAGAGGGGGGAAAAAAGAACTGACCAAAAACAAAGTAAGCTTAAAGATGCATATCAAATAGCCAATAAATTTGCACCCCAATTTTCTCTAGCTAAATATTTGTGTGGTTCTTGTCCTTCCCGATGCCATTTAATAGAATAGTTATTGGGATTTCTCTTCAAATTTCAGGAGCACGATTTAATGAAGACCTTGCATTCCCAACATAGAATCGAAAAGGAATATAAGTCACCGACGTTTGTTGACAACCGGTTCATATGAAATACCCAATGATGAGCACACAATGTGTGTTTCAAGATCTATTTCTTTTGCTGAATAGCTCACATGATTCGTGCATATCCATCTTGCACCATATTTTTAGAATACACAATTAGGTCTCCTTCATGTTGCTGTCAAGTTTCTTTGAGGTTTTGAAAGAAGTGTTGGAACCCAATATCCTCGAATGCCTCTTAGACTTAGTCCCCCTAAATAGTCCTCAAGAACGATGTCCGGCAATTCCACCCCTAATTTCCATCTCGAGAATAAAAACTTCTCAGTTTTTTACCAGAAAACATGTCAATTACAACTCTGAACCGACAGAATACTCCAAATGAATCTCAAAATTCGGTTTTTAAGCCTTTTGTCTCATGTCTATTACTCCGTACAACTCAAAACCAACAGACGCTTTCCCTAAAAGGGATTAGAGTATAGCAACGCTCATCTATACTCCCTAAAACAGATATCTACATTTCATTGAAAATCAATCAATGAATTCTATAATAAAATAAAATAAAATTGGTTAACAAGTAATTACTACCTTGGACCTTTCTTTTGACTTCTTATAGGAGACACAATGAGGGAGGCCCAATCTATAAACACATTACAATATTATAACTTCAAGAAGTATAAATCTATTAACAATAAATGCTTTTATTGAAGGAAGGCCTTTAAAACGAGGAACACCTTTGCTGTTGTGCGGATTGTGTTAAAAGTGTACGGGATCCTACAACAAATCCTAAACACAAAGTGTTCTTTTCGAATATTTTGCAAGTATAGGTTGCCTACAAAAATAGATTATATTACTTACCTGGGCAATGCGATCAACGCTTCTTCGAAGTCACCATTCCTACAATGAAGTATAGAAACTACATCAAAAAGCAAATTGGTGAGAAAAGAGCTAGTGTTGACATTATAGCACAAACAACAACCCAGTATAATCCCGCAAAAGTAGGGGCTTGAAAATAGAGAAAGAGGCTCAGCTTGTGGTGGACCCGAACTTGAGTACCACATAAAACAAATAGCACGATAAAAAAAAAGATGAAACCAACTTAGAGTAAAGATAGTGTAGCAGAAGAGTTGTCTTGTAAATATAGTCACTTCATAACATAGTCTAAAAATATCGCGCAAGAAAGATATGAATAATTATAGAAACTATTCAACAAAAGAAGTAAATGTCTCTAAACAATGGGAAATAGTGGTTCCTCTTTTTATGACTTTTGTCTTTGATGAAATATTAATAGATTTCAATTGGTTAAATACAGATTATAAACAGATGTTTTGATGTTCTATGAGAACATGTTCAACCAAGAAGACCTAGAATATCTTCAAAAGAGGTATGGTTCACACACAGATAATTGACTCAAATATCACACACATGAGACAAAAAGCTTAAAACCGAACTTTGTGATTCATTTGGAGTATTCTTTTGGTTCTGAGTTGTAATTGACATGTTTTCTGGTAAAAAAAACTGAGAAATTTTACCAGATTAATTGACATGTTTTCTTTTTGTTGCGAAGAAGTTATAAAAAAAATACTGAAAGTTTATGTACATAAATATCCAACAACTTATAAGGGTAAGTCACACAAAAAATCCACACGCCGAAAAAAAAACTTGCAGGTTAATGAACTAACAACAACAACAACAACAACCCAGTTAAATCCCACAAGAGTAGGGTCTGGGGAGGGTGTGTGTACGCAGACCTTGCCCCTACTCGAAAGTAGAGAGGCTGTTTCCAAAGAGACCCCCGGCTCAACGTCAAAAGTTGCATTGCTTGACTAACTGCGACTTCATTAATTAAAGAAGCGCAGACAGTTTAGAGATCCATTTTGATTTATTCCATCACACCCCAAAGCCAAAAAATGGTGAAATTTTGGCTCCATCGGAGATGATGGAAATAGGTTAATGAACTAAGAAACTCCCAAAGGAAGTTTTTATAATTAAAGGTAGACCCAGAAAAATCCATAGCACATAATATCATAGGAGATGAAAACTCACACAGAAAACAGAGCTGCACAAGGAAAGTTTGAATGCACTATTATTCTTCTAAAAAAAATAGAGAAAGAATGGTGTATGCACTGTGTTATCACACGAAGTAATTCATTTCATTTTTATATGAATTACACTCCTTGATGAACATTCAAAACTTCATCTCTTTTTTATATACAAATTGGTATGGGTATAAAAAGTACAACTTACATATTTAAAAACAACTCATAGATTGAAAATTCTACAAAATAAGGTGTGATGTGCACTAGGCACAAAGAGGCATGATGCACATTTAAGGCACGCGCATCAAGACTGGGAGGCACAAAGGAAAAAACAAAGGTAGCATCTCTATACTTGGAAAATAACTAAGAACCAAAGTCACATATAGTTGCATGAGTCATAGACAAAAACAGAGTACTCCCTAAAAGAGAACCAAAGGTCCAACACAAAAAAGAAAATGTCCATAAAGTTTACAATAAAAACATCAAGTTAAAAGTGACATTCATATTGCACACTTAGAAGACAAAATCATTGATCAAATTTTCAATTTAAATCACCTCAAGAGTTTTGCATTTGATACCAATGTAAATCCATTGAAACTCTTCTCTGACATAATTGTCTGTAGGTAGTCCAAAGCAAAGTACCCTTATGAAGTTTTTCATATCTAGACATATTCATATTTTTCTTGAAATAAATATTCATCAAAATGTTATTAACAAAAAAATTTGATTTTAGAACATTGTGCCTAGAAACCCTAAATCCCTGGTTTTTTCCCTTTGATTCTCTTCTTATCTCCACTTTGAAATAGCATCTCTAAAGACTATAATTACTTAAATTTTAAACTTCAGGCGTCAAAAACACTTCAAGAAACAAGAACTTTAAACCAATTGAAATCCTATGAAAAATTTCGAGGCAAAGAAACAATAATAATAATAATACTAATAAAGATGTTTAAGATATACAAAAAATTCATGTTTGAGGATGAAAGGTTTCGAGTGAGAATCAAGAAATATACCTTCAAAAATCTAGAGATAAAACTTCAATTTTCTTCTGCTCGCTGCGCAAGATTTTTATTTTTTTTATTAAAAAAAGGCAATAAAATCAGAATTACATTGGTACTATACTGAACCGTAATCAATTGTGTTAGATGGGAATGGACAAAAAAATCAAACTTACATGAAAAATGCTAGAGGGATGCAAGGGTACATTGAACCTGTACCCCAAATGTACACCATCCCCTCCAACTTACATTGGTATTGTAGTGAATCATAATAGTACCACATACTTTGTTGTGCTTTCAAATGAGATTTTTTCAAGAGAAATTTACCTAAATAGGACTAAAATAATTTTCTTAATATAGGACTATATATTTTTGTTTCCCAATGTAGGACCATTGGTCATTATCCATTAGTCATTATTCAAGTAAATGTCTAATATCACTGGACATTATTCCTCCATCTAGACATTATTTAGTTCTATTTAGAAAATAAAAAAATTTAAGTCCTACATTGAAAAATGACTTATGTTTTAGTCCTATTTAGTGCAAATTTCACTTTTTTTAAATCTCGAACCGGTATCAAATAAGACAAGATCGGAATACAATAACTTAACCTATTATTACAAACCGAACTGTTAGAAATTAACTATAGAGAATCTCATATACTCCGTATTTATTAGTTTATTTCATTTTCACATACACGGAATCACTATTTTTTAAATGTAGGTACTCATCATTTTTGAGTTTTTTATGTTATTTACTCCTGAACTTTTTAAAAAGTACTCCTCCATTTCTTAAAACGATTCCTAATTTGACTTGAGAGATATTTATTTTCGTAGTTTGACCATCTAATTATATCTTTATCATCGAAGAAAAAAGAGAGCGAAATCATTTAAATGACTTATTATATCAATGCAAATTGAATGGAGTATATTGCAATGACTTAATTTAGATATATATTAGTCATTTTTTTCAAAAATAAAAATGTTTTAAGGAAAATAAAAAAATGAAAGAGTGACTGTTTTAAGAAATAGAGAGAGTACATGTTTTCTCCCAAACTTTAAAAAATGCACCAGTCTCTCAAACTCTTTTAAAAGTGCACCATTAATCAATATAATTTTGCAGGAGTACATTCAAAAGTGCCCCATTTTTCTTTTTAGTCGTGTTTGGTTAAAGACTTTGTTAAATCAAGAGAAATTTTTAGAGTTTCAATTATTCATCGTTTAAAAAGATATAGGAATAATGGTTTATTCTAAAAACTTCAAGGGAAACACATTCACTATATGAAAATTACGAGACTAATGATGCACTTCTGAAAGTACAAAAGTAAAATATACACTTCTTAAAGGGTTCATGTGGTGCACACACTATATTGAAAATATAAGGATTAATGGTGCATTTTTTAAAATTTTGAGTGAGAGGGGATATGCACTTTATGAAGACTTCAAAGATAAATTTTGCAAGAAAACCCCCATCATCTTTTATTCTTTCAATTTTTGATCTTTAAGTTTGCATACATTTTTTTTAACACTAATAACTCAATTTCCATCATCTTCGAATGAGCCAATAAATTAAAAAACACTTTTAAATTGGATTCGCTTCTTTTATAATGAAGTACTCCCAACGTCCTGCTATTTTTTTCCACTTTCCTTTTAGGCAAGTATAATACCATTATTTTGTCTATTTTGCCCTCCTTAAATGTATCCAACCCACTAGTTTATACCAAACCTTGGCATATGTGCCAAAAACTAAGTGGACAAAAGGAGTGGTATGGAGGTAGTAATAATTAGTTAATGTAACTTTCAACGATTATCATGGATCATCAAGAAAATTGCTACATTATGTTTTAAACATAGGGGTCAGATTGAATGTAACTACATTCGACCCGCCCACCTTAGACTGCACTGTGCTATCTTTTATACTCCAAAAATTAGTGTTTTCCTTTTAATATTTAAATTCTGGATGTTTAATTTTTTTGGTATAATCTTGGTATGATATTGTATTGTACCATTTTGTTTTAAGGCAGAATGGTAGCGAAGTTGAGGTTTGCATTGGATGAGATCGAACCGTTTAAAAAGCACGGTTTGTGAAGGGTGATAGGTGCCTATTATGTTACAAACCGTACCTATCTAATAAAAGTAGATAGACAACCATAAGGCCGGCACTTATATATGAAGTATTATTTGTTGGAACACCATTATCAATGTCCGAAACGTACTAAACAATACGGAGTAATGAAGATTTATTTATTTTATTAAATATACTTATAATGCATTTTTTTTCTCCATGTATGTGTGTTTAGAATAACTTGAGATAGTATTGTTCTTATTATTATTATTATTATTATTATTATTATTATTATTAATGTTGTTATTGTTATTTTAATACAATTTAATTAATAATAAATATTTTAATTTATTCAAGTCGGGCCGGGGTGTGGGCTTGAGCATAAAATCCGAGCCCGGCCTGAAAACATTCAGCCCGCCATTTATAAGGACCAAGTCCAGTCCGATTCGTACCCTAGAATGTCAAGCCCAAGCCCGTTATTTTGCGTGCGGGTCAGATACCTGAGCCCGTAATCGGGTCTACTCCCTTCTAAAACTTTTTTCAGTTTCGGTTTTTGAGGTTTGACCGTCTTTAATTTCAATTCATTTTATTTAATTGTAGATATAAAATTAAAAAAATATATATTTAAAACTTATATCAAAATTCTAGAAAGAAGAAGTGACATGATTATATAATTTTTTTAAATTAACTAACAAAAAGAAATAAAAATAATTAAATTTTGATCGTGTGAATGATAAGATAAAAAGCTCGGTTCAGTTCCATGGATTCCTACCCCCTCTAACCCCCCGGTAAACCCCCGCCAAGTCCCGACCCAAACTAATCACCCCACCTACGTCAATTGCATTTCGTAAGTATAATTGACTTTAAAGTCAAAAGTTTTGACTTTATACTTAAAAAAAGGAAGGAATGCATACTCAACTTCTACGTAGTATTTTTTTTCAAAATCTTCCTGAGTTTCTGTGATGGCGGCATAGAAACAAACAACAATGATCTAAGAATTTCGGTGACTAATACTCTTATTATTAATGTCAATAATTAATCGAAAATAGATTTACACAATATTTGAAACTTTACACACAAAAAAATAAAACAGCTCTAACAATGAAACTTCAAGAATATAAAATTAAAAAAAAAATCTTTGTGAATTTTTGTGATCCCAGATTTCAAAATGGGATTTTTTTTCTTGTATTCTGATTTGAAGTGAAGAATCTCAAAATAATTTCATAAATAAAAAAAAATTGCTAATAATTACAGCACACCAGAAGGTGAAACCCTACACACCACACAATCAAAAATGTTCTTACAATGCCCTTAGCCGCCGAGGAGGCACCGTCTTGATGAAACCCCGGCGGCGGAGCGGATGAATGGCCGGATGCTCCGTCCGTTCCCGGCGAGAGAGTAATCTCCGGCGTCGCATCCACACTCCCACCTCCAGACCTGTTCACCTCAATCCTGTTCCGGCCAAAGAACTCTACGGGCAACAAAACATGGGAGATTCCGAAAATAGCCACCGGATTTTGGTCGTACACCGTCTGAGTTACAGAAGCTTGTACGTTTCCGGTGCCGATCGTCAAAGATCCGTTGATTTTGGAAATGTTCAGGGTGAAGCTCCCCGCCCAGTTCTGCTCCGTCTCCAGAGTGGGTTCGATCGGATTCACGACCTTCTCGAGCGTCCCCAGAGGGTAATACGAGTGGAGGACGTGGAATCGGAGGATCGCCGCCTTTTTATCGGCCGGCAGGGATTGGAATCCCAACGAATTCGGTAGATCTGAGAACGCTTCGTCTGTGGGCATGAACAGAGTGAGGCCCGCGCCGCCCTCATTGTCTTCGAATTCCTGTTCGACGCCGGATGCGGCGAGCATGGAGGCCGCGACGTTGAAGTCGTGCCCGTCGATGAGGGCCTTGGTGATGCTGACTCCCGGAGACGGCCGGGTGTCCGACGCCATCAGATCTATTCCGTACGGCACGAGGAGAGAATTTACAGAGAAGATCGAGACGTTGTAAGGGACGTCGGCGATTTCGGACACGATTGTGGCGTTGGAGCCCTGTAGGTGGACGGTGGCGAGTTTTGCGGCCGGATCCCAGGTGATGTTGACGAACCCTAAGTTTCCCGGGGCACGGCCGGTGGTCTGGAACAGAGTGGTGACGAGTTTCCCCTCCGCCGGAATCGCGGGGAGGTCATCCCAGGATATGTACTGGAGAAGGACGTGGTAGCGAAGAACGGCGTCGCTGATGTTGGCGGCGGCGTGCCGGAGGAAGGCATTGGGTACGGCGAGGACGGTGATGGAGGAGCGGGAGAGGAGATCGGCGGGGACGGATGTGGCGGCGAGCGAGTCTGCGAAGCCGGTGAGAGAAGAGTGGTGGGCGATGAGGTCGGTGACGTTGACGGCAAGAATGGGGAGGGGGCAAGAGGACAGGAGGAGGAAATAGAGGGCGGTGAGAGGGGCAAAATGGGAAAAGGATATAGTTGCAGGTGCCATTCTTAAACTTTACCTTTGATGGTAGTTCTAAAAATGGAGCTTTTAAGGGAAAGAGAGATCGTCGAGTGAAGGCTAAAAGTGTAAGTTTGGGATTGAAAGGGGAAAGTACGTTTGAGAGTTGGGCGTGAGTTGTCCATAGATTAGTGACTGATAGTTGGCTTTTTTTTTAATCATGTCTTGTTATGACCCACCTCTATTTACACGAGTGTGGTAGATATATATAGTATGAGCAATGTTACTAGTAGACCAAAGGTGTACTTCATTTGTCTCTCACCTCTTTCTCCATCATTCAATTTTATTTTATTTTTATTTATTTAATTTTTTTTAATTTCTTGCCTTTTTGTGATGACAGAGGGGGTGGGGGACAAATAGGGTATCCAAAGGTGTACCCCTAGCATTTGTTCATCTCCCATCTTTCCACACGAATTTGCAAAATCTTGTAATTTGGGAGGCGGCCCTTGAGACGCTAGACCTTGGAAACGGTGGCCCTCAAGGTGGATGCGACCCCCTCATCTATAAAATGAGTGATGTTAGCTCCCCCGTCTTCAACTAACATGCTATGTAATATAATACATGCAAACATGATGTATGAGATGAACGATCGGCGCCACGGATGTACGGGACCTTTCACTATCACCTACGTGATTGGAGGACTCTAAAGACACGTTCTACATCTTCCCGGGCAGACTTTTGTTTCCACACGAACAATGCCCTCTTTGGATTTATCGGTTACGTGATTGTTTTCAAAAACACCGACCAACGTGGATAGATCAGATCCGCCAAATAATATCTAATGTTATATTGGCAACCACTGGCGATGAATTGCACGAGTAGTGCAGACATTATTGGATAAAGGGGACCCATTCTACACATTTAGATCGTTGTTTGATCCGGTGACTCTGAAGTGCGCATGCCAAATTCACATATGATGGCCAGCAATAGCGTCGAGCACGATCTTCGGGGGTGAGCCCTTATAACCGTCTGTCAATGCACTCCTCCATGGCACATGATAATTTTTCCACTCCCAAAGCATACAGTCCACGCTACCAATCATCCCTGGAAACCCGTGAACTTGTCATGCATATTGATTTAACATTTGAACATTTTGGATTGTCGGTTTTCGCAAGTACGTATCCTTGATAGCTTCAATGACACCTCGACAAAAATGTTGCAAACATTCTCGACCAGTCGAGTTTTCGATGTGGAGATACTCATCAAACATGTCAGCACAGGTGTCGTACGCGAGCTACCTAATCGCGATTGTGTTCTTATTGGATAGGCCCAGTCGGCCAAAGCCGTCCGGGCACTGTTGGAAATAGAAATCACGAGCTCCAAGGGCATCCGCGATCTGAACGAATAATACACGACGCATTCGGGAACACCGACGAAACTGTTCATCTGAGAAACACAGAATGTTTGAAAAATAATCTTCAAATAAACGGGCAGCGGCCTGCTCACGTTCCCGAAAAATATGCATCCGCGTACGTAGAACAGGAGGAGTAGCACCCGCTGCAGCTTATTGAGCAATTTCACGTTGCATTTATGCTTGGACATAAGACAAATACTCATGGTACGCCGCAATTAGCATATCCACGACCTCATCATTTGGAGGAAGAGCCATTTTTTTTATTTGAGAGAGATGAAAAGAAATTAAGAAAATTGGTAAATTGAGAGAGATGAGATTGAATGGATTGAAGTGGAAGATTGTTGAATTTATAGTGTTGAAAGGAAAAAAAATAAAAAATATTCTTGGCACGGCAGACTGCCTGCACAGGGCAGTCGCTGCGAAAAAATGGACGCAATTCCCGCGCGGCTTCAAACAATAAGAAAAAATTTATTATAAATATATTTTTTATCTAATATATTTAAAATTGTAAATTAAAATTATAATTATGATTGTTACTTATTATAGTTAGAATTATTATCAAATAATATTATCCTATATTATTAGCCATTAATTTAGAAGATTCTAAAATATATTTCTGATCTCCACCAATAAATACATATCTTGTATTCTCTCTTATTTATTCAAACAATAAAGTATTTAGAGGGACTGGACCATTTGTAGAAGTGTTGGAACCTCGAATCTGGACCATTTTACCCTTTGTTGTTGTGACTTTGTTGTTGTGATAGGAAAACGTTAAGATGAGCTAAAGAGGTAGAATGATAGAAAGTTAACTTTTGAGGGGGGGGGGGGGGGGTGCAATATGCGGAGTATCATTTAATAATTTTAAGGGTGCAAACTGATTTTTACCCTTGGAAGAGATATAAAATTAATGAATTACCCTTGGAAGAGACTTAAATTTAATGAATGGGACCAAACGTTTTTAGCCATGCTTGCAATCAGATCTTCCCAAAGTGGAATTATTAACCCTAAAATCAATTAAACATTACAAAAATAGTGTAATTAGCGTGTAAACTTAATGAAACGAAGGATCAACATCATAACAAATTCAAGTCAATAAGTCTAATGAAAAGATAAAGAAATGTGTACAAATAATAGATTGATTTGTGATCGGGAGAGAGAAATTTTACTCCTACCCAGGACCTGAGAATTCATATGCCCGGCCCGAAATGGAAAAAAGGTCCTAAAAATATTATCGCTAATGATCTAACAAATTAACATTTTTGTAGATGCTCTTGCTCTTCCATCTCTTTTACTTCTTCGTCTTCAGCAACAGGTTTCATAAACTTATATAAAGCTCCGAGACTTTCTCATTTCTTCATCTCATTTTCTCTTTTTTCTTTTTTAACTACCGAATAATTTTTAGGAGCCATAGCTATTGAATTATTTCTGAAATCAAATCCAAATTCATAAACTCTACTACTTAGTAAAATCAAGTATGAAAAACTGAAAAAGCAAGCAAATAAATAAATACTATGTATATCATAAATTCATATCAATTCGTCAATTTTCTTTTTTAATTATTTTTTTCTTTTTCAGTTTTAATTTTTTTTATAAATCATAAATTCATATAAATTCGTCAATTTATCAGTTTTAATTTTTTTCAGTTTTCAGTTTTTTTATATAAATATATTATAAATAAAAAATTCAAATCAATTCACCCAAATCAAATAAATAACACATCAAACCATTATTTCATTCTATTTCAAAGAATAAAATTAGAAAAGATTTCAAATTAAAAACTACTCCCTCCGTCCCACAAAAAAGTTCTCATTTTGACCATAAATTGGTCAAACAGTTGCACACTTTGATCCTAAATTAAATATAATCTAAATAAAGAAAGGCTAAAAAAATTTGAGATATCAAAATTAGATCCTAAGATAAATCCAATTATATAAAATTTATTTCATGATTCAATATACCTTCTCACAATTTGTAGTCAAAGCGTGTAAATATTTGATTAAATATTATTCAAAATGAGAACTTTTTTGTGGTACGGAGGGAGTAATAACTAACCCTAGATTTTAAATCTAAAAAATGAAACAATGAAAGAAAATTAAGATTTAAGAAATAAAAATTACAAAATTGAAAAACTATGAATTATTGAATATGGAATATCAGGAGGGTGGAGGTCGGCGTCCGGCGGTGTGCCGACGTCCTTTCTTCGGCTATCGGCTCTTGCGCTCTTCCGCATCCTTTCTTCAGTAGTCTCTGTGGATTCCTTTTTTTTGTCTACATACGGGTGAGGGGTAGATTGGGGCATTGGGCTTAGGGGGTAGAGTAAGATAAGTGGTGATGGTGTGGGCTGGGCTTGGGCCTTAATGTGATAGGCTTCTTATATATACATATCTATTGGGCCGGCCCTGCCCCTACCTTATTAGACCAAATTGCATGGATATTAGAGACCTGCAGTATATATGAAGAAGTGATCAACAAAGAAAAACAGAGCGTTGAAAAATATAATTATCCACCAGATATATACTACTCCCTCCATCCCTAAATAATGTTCCACTTTTGTTTGAGGATTTAAGGGAGGAATATTTTTTGTGTTGACTTTCCAAAAATACCCTTGATGTGATGTGTAAAAGTAAGATGTGATAGGTAGATTATTAGTAAAAAAAGTATGATGTGATAGGTAGGGTATGAAAAAGTAAGGGGTAAAAGAGAGTTTTTAAGGGAAAAGAGAAGTTTATTTAGGGACAAAGAAAAAACTAAAGAGAAACTTTATTTAGGGACGGAGGGAGTACTAGTTATATATATTAAGACAAAATGCAAAATAAATTAGACCTATCTTTCAAAAGATATCATCATATGTATACTTAATATAATTTGTGAACTTTTTGGGATAAAATATGCTCTCGTATTAAAATACTTCTCTCTCGTAATAATGTTCCACATTTTTTATCCTTACAAAAAATGTTCAATTTAATACTTTTGAAAAAGTTTTTGTGGATATTATTATTTTTCTTTTTCTCTGCACAACTTTAAACCATACAAATTTATTTTTTTTATTTCTGTGTCTGGAAATTATAAAACATTATTTGCGAGATGGAAGGAGTATTTGAAATAGAAACCCAAAATGAAAAAAAAATGGATGAACTATGTCCCGAGATCCACCTCAAACCCAGTCAGATGGTCACTTAAAACAAATAAATTAAATTTTGATCACAGATTAATGATACACAATAAAACTTAAAACTAGTACTTGCAGATACTCATGTGGCCTTGGCACTCTCTACCTTTACCCAAGATGACAAACCCCAAATGAAGACAAATAGTGCTCTCTCCCTCCATCCACATTTTGATTAGTACAATTTTATTTTTCCTTTCTTCTCGATAATTTTTGTTTATCGCGTGCTTTTATTGATTATTTCATAAAATAAAATATTATTGTCTTCTTAATTTATAGAACTTTTGATGTAATTGTTTAAAATGTAATTTTTATTTCTTATTTATATACTAATTTATAAATAAAATAATTATACTGAGTCTGTTTTTGTTGGATGATTGATTCAGAAGTAAATGTCAGTTGATCGTTCTAATCAACAATTTATTCATAAAAAGACAAAAAGAGTTGAGTCATTAGCCTTTATTTTCATTTGTTTTTTCCGTCTTGATTACATTGAAAATTTTCTTTGGTTTGGGTTTCACTCGATCGATTCCAGTTTAATTTGTTTGATTTTTGGTCTTACTGAATTTTCAACTTATTTACAGATTGGTTACAATATGTTTTGATCAAAATGTGAAAAAATATTATTGGCCATGTGCGAGTGTTGGGCCTTATTTTACATATTTGTAGAGTATTCTCTAAGGTTAGTGCTGAATTTGATTTTTAATAAATATTTTTTTACAATAGGAATATGAAAATATAAAGTTATAATAAATTTAAAAATATTAAGTAATTATAATAATAAATATTTAACAATATAAGACCATAAAAGTTTGGGGCACCTTGCACACCCTCAGGACCGCAATGTTTAATAGAATATAGAGATTTAAAAAGTGATATTAATTAATACTCCTTCTGTTCTGAAACATTTTTTCCATTTCTGTTTATGATGTTCGAATGACTTTATTTTCAATTAAATTTATATGATTGTAGATTTAAAATTTAAAAATAAGATTCATATATTTAAAAATATTTCAAAAGTTTTAAAAGACTATATTATTTTATTCAATAACTAACAAAAATAGGTAAAGAAATAATTAAAATATAATCGTATGAGTAATAAATGGAAAGAACATTTTAGGACAGATGAAGTACCATAAAAACAAAACTCTAATAAATTGGACAAGAACTATAAACCAAGATTTGTAATTTTGTATTATACTCCGTACTATAATAAGATCCATTAAATTGGACATGAAGTAAAGTTGAAGATTTATATATATGCTACTGCTTTAATATCAAATTAAGTTTTTTGGAATCTATCTCTCAATAAGTTTTATTTATTTGTGTATTTTTATTGATTATTTAATAAAATAAAATATTATTATCACTTTTCTTTTTATAGAACGTTCAACTTAATCTTTTAATATATAAATTTTATTAATTATTCTTATAATAATTTTTAAATAAATTGATTTTAAAAATAAACTATTTGGCTCGTAAATAGAAAAGTGTAATCCAGAAGAGGAACACTGGTGCACGTATAGAGTAGTTTGATGTAGCAATTGGAGATTGACTGGTCTTCTGCTACCTAACATAGACGACCATATTACTACTTTTCTCGAAGTGGACCTATTCATTTACTATTATCTTTCCTTTACTCGTAATTATTATCCCAATTTAAATTTTGGATTTATAATGTTTGAATAAATTATTTTTAATACAAATTATGAAAAAATTAAAGCGGAATCAAAAAATTATTATATAAAAAAAATAAAATAAAAGTTCTACAAAACAGAATTTGACATGATTATATTTATCAAATGGTTAACAAAAATAGAGATATAAAATGACAATTTTATTCTATAAAGAACAAACAGACAACGTAATTTAGAACGAAAACCCACCCTTCATAACCGCTCTCATTAATAGAAATGTTATGAATGATAACAGTATTACAAGCTATATACTTCCACCGTCCCAAAAAGACCTTCCTGTTTCATTTTTTACGCATCTCATAAAACATTTCTATCCCGTCTCAAATGCAAAAAAAACTTTCAAAACGACTTCTACCCACAATAAATGAGAAATACGGTAAATTTTAGGCATTTTAGATGTGTGTTGAAGTGTTTTATAGGATGCGCAAAAAATAAAACAGGAAGATCTTTTTGGGACGGAGGGAGTATAAAAGTTCACAAGACGGAGGGAGTATAAAAGTTCACAACTTAATTAAAACACCATTTAAATCTTGGCCATCTATTTCCTACCTAGCTAGCTTTTCGTACTTGGTCGTGTTTTGGTCTTTATTTGGGAGCATAAAATTTCTATAATATCGATATATAGGAAAGAGAGATCAGAAGTTAAGGCAGGGGATATTGATGGGAATGAAATCTGGCAGCGTGGTTGATGAAGAAGAAGAAGATGAAGATCATCGGAGGTATAGTAATAAGTTATGGAGGAGATTTATGAAGTCTTTGGACTTTCATCAATGGCAGTATCACTCCAGGAAGAAGATGCTGCACAGGTTTCTGCTTGATAATGATAATAATAGTAATACAAGAAAGAGAAGAGGAAGAAGAAGAAGGAGATGGCTCCATGATGATCACAGTAAGCTAGCCCACAATTTTTTTTCCCTGTTTTAGAAAAAATCTCAGTTTTTCCAGAAGTTTTTTTTTTTTGAATTTTGGGGGTGCATAATCTAAGCTTGCACAAATTATTAGTAATCTCCTTGGAAGTTGAAACTTGAATCTGGTATACTGCAGACAAAATGAAGTTACTCGAGGGTGATGAAGCACAGGCCATGGAGGAGGAAGAAGAAGAAAGGCAGTCCCAAGAAATCCCTTTTCTGGGCAACAAAACATCTTTGCGGGCGCGCATCAAAGCATTCATTTTGGAGTACAACAACGATAATGGACATCGAAACAATTACAAACAGCTCCCCAAATCCCAGACAGAGTCATCAGATGAAGAAGAACCTGCTGAAGTCCTTCCTGGAAACTCGAACATGGAATCGGAGACGCTTCAAGATGATGAAGACGACGAAGAAGAAGAAGAAGAAGAAGAGATCACACCCGAGGAAAACCAGAACCTGATCAATGATGAAGACTTTGAAAATGAGTTGCTTTTGATAAAGATCATGCAGGATCATTTAAATTCCAATGGAAATTCAAGATTAGTAAAGCCTGGATCTTTTCCTAGTTGCCATAGCAAGAGAGGGATGTTTAAACCCCTACAGCTAAGAGACAAATACAACGAAATTTGGCATCACCAGAAAAGAATAAGTTCGGATCTCTTGGCGAGTGATGATGATGAGGAGGAGAAATGTCATAAAAACGCAGAAATTGAGGACAAGAAGGATAGGAGTTGGAGGAAGTTAGCTGCACACAGAAGAAGCTCTTCGTTAAACGAATCGCTCGAAAGATATTCAAGGCTATATGAACATAGTTCTGGGAAGGAACTGAAATCGAACCCTTCCAAGAGCTTAAAGGCGGTTCCTTTCACAAGAACGCGTTCTTTATCGAATGTTGAGTCAATTTTTTCCCTCCAGATTGAAACACTTGATGGTGCTCCGTTTTCGTTTCATCCCACCGTGGACACAGGGGAAAAAGATGCATCTGTTGATGGAAATCAAGCAGCAAAATGTGATGGTTTCTTGAATGCAAATACAGTTGATGAAACTGATCATGACATGGAAGCAGCCTCGGATGACATTATACTTTCGAATCTGGATTCTTCGGTACTTGAATCTTGTTTCCAAGAGAAATTATCAACAGAGGAAGACTATGGAATCTCCAGAGAAGCTAAGATGACAGATGATCCAGACCTTAGTTATGTGATGGCCATTCTGGAGTGCTCGGGCTTCACCCAGAACTTCTTCCATGGAAAATGGCATTCAAGAGACCAACCGCTAAGCCCCTCAGCCATGGAAGAAGTCGAAGCTCGCTGGCATGACGAAGAAGACAGAGACGAAGACCTCTGCAACCAGCACCACAAGATGCTGTTTGATTTGGCGAACGAGGTGTGTGTTGAGATCTATGACAGATCATTCCCATACTACCCAGCAGCCTTGTCTCCTTGTTGCAAGATTCGATCTCTGCCAACGGGAAAACATATAATCCAAGAAATTTGCTCCGGCGTTAGTTCACGGCTGAGCTTGGAGCCAGAAATGAAGCAGACACTTGAGTGCGTAGCCGGCCGAGATCTTGAGATGGGCTATGGTTGGATGAATCTGCAGCTAGAGAGTGAGTTTGTGGCACTTGAGATTGAGGACATGGTTTTTGATGATCTTTTGGATGAAATTTCACTTACTCTTTCTTCCTCAATTGGCTGATTTTCACACCTTGATGCAGCCAAAAATATATAGATACACACACACTTTCTGGACAACACTTGTAGATGAATTTATGAGTTAGGGTGTATTGTATATAAAGAACTGTAGAATCTATTGTTTATTTGTTTTGTTTTGTTTTTTGAAATCTATTTTTTATTTGTTTGTGTGATATAAATGGCCTTGTATCCAAAAGTACCATCTTTCATGTACTTAACTTAATTAAGAGACTAATCTTTTGTCAATTTGGCTGGATTGAATAAACATTGAGTTGAGTCATAATGGATGGGTTGAAAATAAATCTCTTGTTCTACTCATGAATCCATAAGACGTTCAATGAAACCCTTGATATTTGATTTCAATTTTTAGAAAAGTGCCAAAAGAACCTTAGCTTAATTTACATACAATTTGAACAAAGAACACTAAAGGTATGAGCATTAGTTATGTGTGTGCGAAGGGGAAAGGGAAGCTAGCAAGCAAAGGGGAGTTTTCTTATGCACCGTGATCCCAAAGGTCTCCTCCATATCAACATCCTCAACTCCGGCCGGGAGGTGCCAGTCAAACCGGTACAGAAGATTCGCAAGCGCCAGCTCCACCAGCGGCACCGCGAAGTTTATGCCGGGACAACCCCTACGTCCCACTCCGAACGGTATCAACTCGAAATGCGTGCCTCTATAGTCAACGCCACCGTCCTCGAACCTCTCCGGCCAAAACTCGGAGGGATTCTCCCACGTCCTCGGGTCCCTCCCGATGGACATGGCATTGATGAAGACGCGCGTCTTCGCCGGGATATCGTACCCGCAGACCGTGCAATTGTCGGTGGTTTCCCGGGGCACGAGTAACGGTGCCGGCGGGTGGAGTCTGAAGGACTCTTTGAGCACCATTTTCAAGTAGTCCAGATTGGGAAGATCACTCTCGTTGACTCTCTGTTTTCCCTTGAGGAGTTGCCTCACTTCTGACTGAGCTTTTCTCATGGTGTTTGGGTTTTTCATGAGCTCTGTCATCGTCCACACTATTGTGGAGGCAGAGGTGTCGCTACCCGCTACAAATACATCCTGCAATCCAATAATAATACTCCAATTATATGCAAGTTTTTATAATACTGCATGATTAATTAAGATAGTGTTTGACAACTAGCATATTATGAAACTCGTTCATTTAGGAGTCTTATGGTACTCTAGACAAGCCCTCACACTCAGCGGGAGGTTGGTATGGGAGGCATGAGATCAGACACCAGCGGGAATTTGTCAAGAATTAGCGGGTAAGAAATGCTTCATAATCGAATTGCGCATCAGGGTGTTCAAATGGATGGAGTGTCATAATATGACATTCTAGCTAGACTCTAGTGAAAAAAAATCTAGCCGATAATAATAGTAAATGAGACCTACCGAAGTATAACAAAAACATACTTTGAGTTTGTTCTTATTTGAATAAGATTAAAAAATAACTTTAAATATAACTACAATGAGATTAGATCGAAATTTATTCTAATCAGATCAGAAAAAATTAGATTAAGTGAAGAATGCACACCCTTAATCTACCATAATAAAAATTTCTCGGTCCTAAAAAAAATCTTTTTTTCCTATTCGGAATGTCCCAAAAAAAGTCTCCTCTATCCATCCATCTTTGAGTGACTCACAGTCATTCTTTTTTCTCTACATCACTTTCAATCACATATTTTTATTTTTCTTAAACTTCGAGCCAAATTAAAATTGAAAGCCTTATTTTGGGACAGAGAAAATACTTTCAATATTTTTATATCAAAATAGGACTTACCATTTCAAAAAAGTGAATATATAATGTCTAAATATGACGATGCAGAATGCCATGTTGTGGCATTGCAAAATCTTAATGTTTTAATCTTATTCAGGGTAGGGTGATTATTTTTTGATCATCAAGGTTTATATTCTAGCATGAATTCATGATGATGACGATGAAGGAAATGAGAAAGCATAGTACCAAAAGAACAGCCTTGATGTTTTCGGTGGTGAGAGGAACGGAACTTCCATTTTGACTCCTCTGAATCCGAAGCAGTGAGTGAACAATATCATCATCATCATCATCATCAGGCCTTGTATCGAGCTCATCAAGGTGCTCCTCCATCACTTTGTTCAAGAACCTGTCCAGATCCCTGCAATTCTTCTCCAGCCTTGAATCAAATCCGTTAACCTTGTTCATCCACCCGCCCAATTTCGGGAAGAAATCCGCCAAATTAGGCTCCCCCAGCAAATTCTGCGTCTCCTGTAAAATTTCCTGAAATTTCACCTCTCCCCCGTCGCGTCTCTTCCCAAACGCCGCCCGACAGACGACGCCGTTTGCCAGTGACATTGCCGCCTCGCTAAAGTCGATCGATGTCGTCGGGGAACAGGAAAGCGCGATCCGATCGATCATGCGGCCGACCTCCGCTTCTCTGACCGCCGCAAACCCTAGCGCCCTCTTCGCGCTCAGCAATTCGAGGACTAGAACCTTCCGGACCTCCAGCCAGTACTCGCCGTAACTGGAGAACGTCACGTCGGCGCAATTGTAGCTGATTTTTCTTCCGGCGTAGAGCGGAGGACGGCCGGAGAAGACGATGTCGTGGTCTCTGAAGATCGCCCGGGCTGCGTCCGCGGTGGAAACCACCAGCGTCGGTACTGAGCCGAGCTGGAGGAACATGAGACCTCCGCCTCCGCCGCGGAATTGCTCGGAAAGGCGGTGGAGGGCGAGATGCGGCGGCGAGTTCCCAAGGATTAGATGGTGAAGGTGACCGATAATAGGGATCTTCCTGGGAGCAGGAGGAAGGAGTTGAGTCTTCTTATTTACCAAAAATAATTTCCTTATTAGGAAAGTGATAATCAAAGCGAGGAAAGAAGATGAGAGAACAAAGGGAATTATCATTTTTGTCTGTCTCTAAGAAGAAATTCCATAAACCATTACATTCAAAAAAAGAGGACTCTCATGAAATTTATAGAAAGAGTATGTACACTTTGATTATCTTGATCAAATTATTGAAATAATAGATTTAAATAATTAAATTCATTTTAAATTTTACAGAATGATTTTAATACGTACACCATGTGTCTATCATAAATCTCCACAGATACTATTCACATGATCCAACTTAACTCACTTTATTTGCTTATTTTTAATACTCAAATTTACGCAAATAAGATTTAAACATATCACTTTTTTCTAAATAGGAACACCTATCTTTTTCAACGTTTGGCAATGGAAAGTTCTAAAATTTATGCCTTTAGAAAGAAATTCACAATTTATGTAGAATAAGACAATATTAAAAACAGCTTGAATACTCATTAAAATAATCAGTCATTATTCAACATTTATTGCTAATGATCACATTCGTAGAGTAATTCATATAATCAATCATTATCCAACATTTGTTGCTAATAAGAATATATATGGTAGATTACATGAAATTATGTGCTATAAAAGGAATAAAACATATTTGGCTTTTTTCAAGAAAATGTATTAAAGCATCTACAATGGAAAGTGTAAAAATAGGTAGGCTATGGGCCTGTTTGGGAATAGCTTTAGCGATAAGCGTTAGCGTTTTGAAAAGGCTATCGACGGACAGCGTTTAACGTTAGCGTTTTCAAAGTAATCTACACCGTTAAAATTTTATCCAAAACGCTAACGCTAATCTCTAACGCTATTCCCAAACTGACCTTATATTTAGTTTTATACTATCAATAGTGTTTTACACATTTACTTTTTTTATATCTACTCCAATCATATCTTCTATATAATACACTTTTATTTTATTTTAATATTTTAAGTTATTTAATTATGATAATATATATAGTTTTAAAAATTCTGATGACACATATATTTTAAACTATGGTTATAAGGTACTCCGTATTAAAAAACAAGAAATAAAAAATTTAGTAAAAAAAGAAAGAAAAAACGTACTACAACATTTTAGTAAAAAAATTATTTATAAAAGTACTTGAAAGAGTAATAGTAATAATTTACTAATAGATAGATATTTTAAATAATTTATATTGGATAAGAAGAATTAAAAAAAATAATCATGCATTATTTTAGTAATAAATTTTTTACAAGATGTGAATGGGAAAGTGTATATATAGAAGTTGAGAATTGTATTTTGGACTATAGTGCATTATTTACACTATCCATTGGAGGGGTTAAAATGTATATATTGTAATGCATAAAGTGTATATTTAACAATATACACTTTTTATCCTCTCCATTGGAGATGCTCTTACTTTTTAGTTCCATATCGAACAAATTTTTCAAAATAATATAATCTTACCATTAATAGATTTGTATAACTTTTCATGTACTTTTTTATACTATATAAATTTTATTTTTAAATTTTACCCATACAATTAAATAGAATTAAATTGAAAAATAAAACCGGTCAAATCTGATAATACGTAATGAGAAGATCTTTAATGAATTGAGGGAGTATTTTTTAACGTTTATTTATATGAAACGGTATTTATTGATAGTCAGGTTCTATACTAACTTCACAAAAAAAAAAGTAAGGTTAGATACGGAGTAATTTCTAGGATATACTACTCCCTTAGTCCTAATTTATACTGAGTGATGTTTACATGGTTCTAAAAACCATATTTAAAATGTGGATTTTCTTACTTTTTTATGCACTTTCATGTGAATATTTTCTAGTTTAAAATAGACACACTTCCTTTAGGCTACAAATACACTGAATTACATAAAATGAGCATGAAACTTAGATCAATGGAAGAATTTACCATTTATAGTGCATGTTTCGATCTATAAGTATGACTGAAATTATTTTTAATTTAATTAATTTGAAAATTGAGGAGAAGTTAAAATATAAAAATCACTAAAAACATTTTCAAAAACTATATTAAAAAATTTGAAACGAGAGATGACGTGACTTTGATATTTTATTGAATAAATAACCAAAAAAGTAAAAAGATCAAATTGACTATGTAAATAACAAACATGTTGGAGTTCCCGCATTAAAAAATAAAGAAGAACAGGTCCAACTTCATATATACATGGTTAATTTTATTCGATACTTTACTCGTTGTTCTCGACACCGAAATTTTAACAAAGCACCTGGAGCTTGTGGTTGAGTTGGTTCAGCACCATACAAGAACAGAGGGGTATTAAATTTTTAAAATAGATTCTCTATAGAATAAATCAATACGGGAGGGAGCAAATACTAGAGGTGTCTTAAAAGAAACCTTATTTCAAAGGATTATGCTATGTGTAACTTCAATGAGTTCTATCCAGCTCCCTCCTTTTTAACAAATCTTTCCATTCTAGCTTTGTTTTCATTCAAAAAATGTGCTTAATTTCAATAAAAAATATTTATCTCTATTAATAATTCACTGACTTATTAGAACATATTATCCGATCTATCACATCATATTGTATTACTTTTATAAGAGCAAAACTAAAAATTAATATCAAACTTTTAATTGCCATCTTTAAATCCAATCTTTTTTTAAAGTAGAAAAGGTTTTGTGAGACAGAGAGATTTACTTATCCAAGACCGACATATTGTTGAGTAATATTTTTATGGTCTTAAGATCTACATGTAAAACGTGAATTTCTCAAATATATTCATTGATTCAAAATTTGATCTCTTTGTTTTTATAAAACTTAATACATATAATTATTTTAAGTATAAGGATCCATTAAATTAATATAGATCTAAAGATCACAAAAGAAATTATCTAATGTGTTTCCAATCCCTTTTTAAAAATAAATCTAAATTTTTTATATCCTTCCTTAAAAGTAAAATTTAAGCGTCTTTTTTTATTTTGAGAAAAAAACAAATGATTTACTTAACCCATGAGATACTTTCTATTTATTCATCTTTTTTGTCACTACTTTTTTAAACTTTGACATTGTAGAATTTGTACACCTCAAATATGAAGACTTCAATTTTGACTCTCTTTCCTTTATGTTCTTTTCATTTTTATTTTGTTTTCTTTTTCATCCCGAAAAAAATAAAGTCAACATAATTAATACTCCGTATTTGGGAAATGGGAAAGCATCCCAACAAAGATTTACATTATTGGAAAGATGTCCAAAATTTCGTGTCTTTAAACTTACTTTTACAAAAAAAAAGATTATATTACAGAGTAAAAAATGCGTTAAAAATTCTACAAAACAAGATACGGCAATAGTTTATTTTATCAAATGGTTAATGAGAAAACATAAATAAACAAAAAACTATCGAGATTTCAAAATAATAATACTCCAATAATGTAAACCATTTAATCCCAAATCCAAGATGTTGAGACTGATTAGGAAGTATATGCCCTACTTTGGTCTGAATTTGTAGTGGTGTGTTTAAGGCACCGTTTGGCATCAGCGTTATAGATTAGCGTTAGCGTTTTCAAAAAGCTATCCGACGGTAGCCTTTAGCGTTAGCGTTTTTAGATTTAATCTACACCATTAAAATCTTATCCAAAACGCTAATCGAAAACGCTGTTACCAAACGAAGCCTAAATCTAGCTTTAAACCCAAAATGCTAGCTTTAACCATTACAAAGAGAGGATGTGGTAAAAAAAAATTAAAGTTAGCTTTTAAAGTAGAGAGTTGGGTTTACAGGGGGATGGTGGTCCCCACCCATCTACATCTATTGTTTTTTTATACTACCTCCGTCCCATTTTATATGACAAATGGTATAGAATTAAAAAATAAAAATTACATATTAAAAAACTACATCAAAAGATTTACAAAACTAGTAGTGACAAGAATATTTTATTTTATCAAATTGCTAACGAAAATAGAGAAAGAAAGTGAATGAAGTTTAACCCTGTGAATAATAAACATGCATTATAAATTGGGACGGAGGGAGTACTTTTTAAAAAAAATTTGTGATTGCATATCTATAAATATATTTTATTTAGTTTAACAAAAGAAAAAAATATTTTAATTAATTTAATTAAATATGATAATTTATTTGGTTTATTTTACTTAAATGTGAATATTTTGTAAAAGCTTGCTTTGTTTGTTTAAAAAGGTTTGTAGGTTTTAACTTTTGATATGGCGATGTTAAAACTACAGAGGCTAGAACTAGTGCAGTAATGCTCACTACACACAAGCAGCACCCCCATTTTTTTAAGAGGTTGCTCACACACTGCCGCATGTGAGGTTCGGTCCTGGGTCTCAAATGAAACTATTATAGAATAGCCAGTTGTGGTTATACTTCAGAATTTTTTCACCCGCATCATTCTTTTTCTTTTGACACTCGCAATGAGTGTCATACGGTGACACTCGGTCCATTTGGACACCCTCGAATAATGCCTAGTGGGAAGAATAACGTCCAATGATGGTGGACATTTATTTGAATAATGACTAATAGATAATGATCAATGGTCCTTCGTTGGAAATAAAAACATATGGTCCTATATTGAGAAAGTCATTATGTTTTAATCTTATTTAGATAAATTACCCTAGATCAAATCTACTAGGAACATAATGTATAAAAAAAATGACAACAATGTTCTATGTGGAGATTTTGCAAGGTACCTACTAGAGGTTTTATTGGGAGGATTTCACAGGTAAATTGCTTTCATGCTATAGTGCAATGTCTGAGTTGGATAAAAAGAGAAAGTAGGGGGGTAATAACCTTTTTAAGTCTATTTACTTGCCTATTACAAAACTAAAACAAGCAAAATTCAATTCTATCCTTTTTTTTCAAAATACAATTCCAAGAGAATACAGTTCCATCTAATCGAGTCGGAATGTTCTCCCGGGGTAGGCGCAATCTGGTACGTTTCGATACATTCTTAGGGATGGTAATGTACTACGGAGTACAAGTATTCGTCCAATTTGTTACCGTCGGTTTTTACACAGTACTTTTTAGTCCTAGAACTATTTTATACCGAACCATTTTGAAACAATGCAAAATCGTAGTGCAATTGAACACAATAAGTTATTGGTAAACCCAAACTTCGTTTCCCATCCCATTTATATCAATTATCAAATAAACAATTTTGCCTTTACGTGTTTTTAAGAGGGGGGAAGTGAAAGGGCAAAATTGTTCATTTCTTATAAATAGAGCGGCTTTAGCCAAATGGTATGTGGATTTAACACCACACAGTTCAATGTTATAAAAAATTTAAGCTTATAAGTTTGATAAATACATTCTAATTGATCTTTTAATTCATTATTACTCACAAGAGTTCTAGACAACATTGGATCAAAAGTGGTGGATCAAGGGAAACAAACGTGGACTAAAGTAATAAAAAAATCATTAGTGTTTTGAGTTAAGCAATCCGATCCGATCCAGTATTTTGGGCTTCAAAAACATAGAACCGACCCTGTACCCGTTCCAATTCATACAGCTTTGGTTCGGGACCGAAAACTCATTACACTATTGGGAACCCCCCTTTTGGTTCGGTATCATTTCATACCAACTCGGTACCATTGCAACTCGGTATTTGTGTCCATTCCTAATCGGGACAAAAACTTGGACATGTAAAGTTGTGGGTGAATTCAGCGATGACATTTTAGACAGCGAACTTGTCTGATTACTTCATTTACCTAAAACTTGCCATGAACCATTTTTTTGAGGTTTGAGATCTTATATGCAACAAACGTAAACCTTAACGTTTCCTCGATACCAATAGCAAATACTGGCAATAACAAGCAAACAAGCCAGTGACAAAGTTCAAAAGAATTACAAGATGCAATTTTTTCATATGGCCAACAACAAAGACACAACTCCACACTTGGGCACAAACACACAATTCAAGAAGGCAACAAATAAAGCGCACATGATTCGACCAAGTTTCAACAAATCTTAAACACAAAGGGTTTCACGAATCAAATAAATTTGCAATGTAGAAGAGCTTAGATCCAGAGGGGCATAATGGAATATACCGTAGTCGTAATTGAAGCTCCAGCTCTTTGGACACGTTGCACTTGCAATCTTCCTACAAGCCAAAAACTCTCATGAGCTTATGGAATAGAACTTTCTCTATTAAGCTAAAAGAATTGATTAAAATATGAATTACATTGATGAGCACATTAGTCTTCATTGTCATGGTGTCGCTTCCTGCTCCTCTTCTCGGACCGTTTTCTGTCCCTCCCAACTCGTAAGTCATCAGAATTGTAGGCATCAGAGTCAGATGATGTTCCATGCCTCCTTCCCCTTCGCTTATGCCGAGGAGGGGAGGAATCATCAGTTGATTCGTCTGAATCATCCGGGTGCCTATGGCTTCTCCTTCTCCTCTTCTCCTTCCGGCCTTTCCTTTTCTTACTGTGTTGTTCTTCATCTGAATCATCTGATGAATCATCCCTTCTCCGCCTCTTCTCTTTCCTTGTTTTCCTACGGTCCTTATCTTCACTTTCATCCTCTGAACCCCCATTCCCCCTCTTACCAATTCTCCTTCTCTTCGATCTTCCCCTCCTTTTTCTTTCTTTAGAATCTGAATCATCGCTCCTCTTCTTTCCCGATGATGGCTTCTTTACCTTATGACTAACCTTCTTAGAAACATTCCCATACCTCTCAGCAATTGCCCTTTCAATTTCAGAATCATACTCTGAATCAGAACTTTCACTCTCCTCTTCCTCACTACTCTCCTCACTCGCGCCATTCGCCTTCTTATCCCTATTCCCCTTCCACTTCTCCAATTCCGCTGCAATTCCACCATCATCGTCATCCTTTGCTTTACTGATCTCCTCCTTAACACTCAAAAAATTTCTGCACTGGAACGTTAGGTGCCCGACTCGCCCACACTTGTTGCAGGCCCCACGAGCCACATCAGCACTAGAGCCACTCATCCGAGCAAGGTCAAGCAAACCCCTAAAGTTGTTGTAGGGATTGTCGGGGTCAGCGGATTTTGGCTCCGACTTTTTGGATTCTTCCTTGTTGGGAGCATACGGGTCATACCCGATTGTACTTTGCCAGATACCATGGGTTTGTAAGGCTGCACTACTGTGCACCCTGTTGTTCGCAGGCATACGAACTCTTCCTGCTGTGGCCGGCATTTTGACGATTTACCCTTAACCCTGTGGGTCAACAAAAACCAATCTTTAATCAAAATCGCAAAAACAAGTAATCAGGAAACCGTAGTAACATAAATTTCGATAAATG